CGCATCGCTCGATCCTCCGTGCGAGATTCGTGGCTAATTGGCTGCAGCCACGAAGACAACGTCGCCGTTGTGCATTAAAGAAGTTTAGCAAGCTAATGCGCTCTTTTTTTAAGTAGGTAAACGACGGCGTTGCACGTAGTGCTCGTAACACGCACGACGCACGACGCACGACGCACACCGAGTCCGGGACGTCATAATCCTCGTAGTTGTCGTTTTACACAATTTCCGGATACACTCGATTTATTGCGTGATCTATAGTAGAGAGAAGTGAATATAGTAAGAAAAGGACGGAGGCATTTAAAATTAAAAAAAAATAATTTAGGATAAAAATCTATGCGTAGAAATCTGCAATACGTTTTTTTTTTACCTCGAACACCAATAAACGGGACAACTTTTGTTGTTTAAAAATGCGCTCCTGCAATAAATTTTCTTTATTTGACTATATACGTATATTAAAGAACCAGTGCTGTCTCGTGATAAAAGCTACGAGAGATAGAATTTCGCGCGATCGCCGCGTAAGAAGGAAGTCACTTACGATCGAATACTCTTGTCGCTGCAGCTGTAAAGTAATTAAACTGAGGATTAGCGTTCGAGAGACGCTGAGCGGAAGAAAGAGATAAATCTACGCATTTTTTTTCGGTCCGGCTTCAGTCGAGCGGATCGTCCGTCCGCGTCGCGCACTCACCTTTCGCGATTTTTCGCGCGCACTCCCAAGGATTTCTCTAAAATCAAGACAGGGCCCCGCGCTCGCGTCTCCTCTGCTTCTTTGAGAAAGGCTGCATTCGCGCCGCGAAGAGGATCGTATATATTTAGACGAGCTGCAGACACAAAACGACTTACCACCACCTCCGCGACGGACGGCTTCTTCGTTTCTCTTCCCTTTCGGTCCTCCGCGAGGTTTCGTTCCTTCTGTCTTTTCTCTCGCGCTCTCTTTCTCTCTCTCTTATTGTCGCGGGTGCGCTTATACGGAATCTCCGGCGAAAGCTAAGCAAATTCTACGTTTGCATGTACAAAGGGGGGGGGGGTGGCGCGTCAGCGTTATCCGGCGCGCGCGCGCGCGCTCAAATTTAGTGGTGAAATTTCTCCGACATTTACGAAGCGCACTTTTTCGTTCACGCGATTAATGACTCGCCGAGTCGCGTGTGCCCTGAAATATTCCCGTAAAAGAGACACTTGGAGAATATCGCATGCTTTTTTTCTTAGTAGGATACGTGTTCGATCGAGATATTGTCTTTTATCGTCCGATCGATACACGATTCGCGGTGACCCGTTAGAGAGTCGACCGGACGAGGCACGGCAGGATGCGCGAAATAGGTTGCGGATTGCCATTATCCTCGGATGACAATATAGGTGCGGTTCGTGCTTTATACATTTCCTTATAGCGGACAGCCTTGCCTTTC